AATAAACTATTTCGGAAAATGTTTCAAAATTCATTATGTTTGTATACAATATGTCAATTGCAATTTTTAGAAATAATCGTATAAGTTGATGCGGATCAGAATAGACACCAACTATTATTTATTTTTAATGTTGATTTATTAATATCTTATCAGTTGCATGACATTTGAAAAGAACAAGCGATAAAAGTAATAAATAGTTGTAATAAGTTATACAGCAACTTTAATTCTCATAGCAGTTTTTTTAAATTATATTGAAGCTCATTTTTGTCAGAGAACAGACACACAGTAAGCACATTTGAGATCCTACTGTAAGAGAGCATAGAAGTTTATTTTCATGAAGTACCATGATAGAACTCATAGAACTAGTGAGACAAATACTAATGAATCCAAAACGTGAATTAAACAGAACAGTTAATTCTTAATTCTTAATTCTTCAAGAATAGTCTTTTTTTTTACAGACAATTAGTTGTCAAATCACTTTTTTTATTCCTAAAGTTCATCAGCACTGCATAAAAATCTCATGGTAAGGAAAGCTAACGTTTTTTTCGTTGATTAAATATTGCTAGCTTCAAATTCAATTAAAGTATATTTGAATTCAATATATTTTGATTGAAGTCATTCTAATTGACGTCACCGTTCACTGTTATATAAATCACAGGACTTACACCCACTAGTTATGCCATTTCGATAGAACTGATGCTATTTCATTTAGTTATACGAAGAATGTTAACAGTAAATTAAAAAAAATAGATCAAAAGTAATAGAATTTTTCTGTACAATAACAATTTGCAGATTTGAGTTTTTCACTCTCAGATACATATCCCCAAGTTGAAATCGTAAAATTTTCGTTTCAGTTTTAAAAGAGAATATTCTCAATGACTTTCAATGATAATAATAGAATTTTATTGTGTTTCATTGTTGCTCATTTTCTTCTTTCTACATTGATCTTTTTATCATTCGTTCTTTGTTCTGTCTGTTTAGACCCACATAAGAAATCATTTCTCATAGTTCGTGATCCTTCTCATTCTAATTCGTTTCTTATATCATTTAAGTTTCAATCTGTTTATTACCTTCTGGTTTCATTGGACCTCATTTCAGTTGTTAGCTTCATGAACTGGTTATTATCATTTCGGTAATTTACCATAGTTTTATTGTTGTTTTCATATGTGTTTCTTTTCGTTTATCAAAAGTTAGTCAAATTGATAGGCAAGCTAGTAATATGTTTTCATGATTGTCTATTAGATTTCTCTGTATCATCACGACATATAAGAAAAGATGTTACATTACTTATTTAATTTAACGCAATAATAAAATAAAAAAATCATATTAGTGTGAGCTCTGTTGGAGAGTATCTGTATTTCGATAGAGTGATTTAATGTTGAAAAGAAACTTAAACGATCAATATCAATTTTTTCTATATAAATACAGGTGCTGTACATAGTCAGAATTACTTTCTAGCAGCATGGTGAATAGTTTCTTAAAAGCTTTTTATTTTTCTGACTGCAAATTTATATAATAGAAAAAGTGCATCCTCTCAATTGATGTTAAGTGATTGTAACAAGAATTAAGACAGAACACTGGTAGTGAACAGTTACCAAATGAAGTACGTGAGAATCGTTCGTTTTTTTTTATATAAACGTGATGATAGAACGAAAACAAGAAATTATATCATATTTTATTTTAATGAAACGCCATCTCAAATCCTCAGAGCCCATGAATAGCTATTTATAGAATGAAATACAGATTAACCAGAGAGTAGTTATGTTATATGATCATTGATTAATTGTTTGAGCATTAGGTAAATATATATTAGTAATGTTTTTGATCCATACGCATCAGTAAAAGAGAAAAACTTATTCAAAAGATACGCAGAGACATGAAGCTGTATACGAAAGAGAGCCAAAAAAAATCTTTTCAGAATAGATCTACATTTTGAATATTGTAGTGTCTGTTTTGATTGAACCATCTTATCAGCAAATTTTCGATTTACTATAACTGAAAAACTACCTATTCAATCAAAAAGCAAGTCACATTTTGTTTCAATTAAATACATTATTTGTTATGTCTTTGTAGGCTTTGAATCTTGCTCTTTGCTGCTCTGGTACCATCAGTTCAATCAGATTGCTTCTCATAAGTATATTATATTCGAATCTGATCTTTTGACTGGTAACACAATCGCATGTATGAGGAATACGAGTCTGGTCCTGTCGTATTGTCTAGAGCCAGAAAAAAAATTGAACTTATGCTATAATTTTTCTTAACATTTTTCTTGGAACATTCCGATGCAGCTCTATTAGTAAATGAGAAATGAGAAATATCCCTTTTTACATCAATAGAAAATGAATTCGTGAATGACCAAGGAAGCAAGTTTAAGTACGAATGGAAACGAGAGAGAGCAAATCTTTCAAAGAGGGTGTATAAAAAAAAGAGATAAATCATGACGTTATTCTACAATGATGTAAATAAGAGAATGTTTAAAAAGAATGTATATGAAAAAGAAATAAAAAGTATTCAATGGCTAATGAGATCATCCATATGTACCGTTATGACGCTGTGAGTATGTAAATTTAATGTAAAAGAGTTACTTTCTCAACTGATAAATAGATGGGACAACGTATGTTGCGTCATTCTCATGGGATTATACTTTTTTTTAATTGAAATTCTTTGTATTTATTTTTTAGATACTTCTAACACGTACGATGACAAACATTGATGAGTTCGTGTACAATGATTATCGTTGATATATTTATTGATGAGAAAAGACAAAAGATCTGAATAATTATGACTTAATATATTTCAAGAGATTATTTCTGTAGTACGAAATACAATAAGAGTCATAACAAAGCAACTCAACGCCTAAATGTTTTCGTCGGAGATATTGATTCAACATATAATGAATACTAAAATTGTTGTGTATTTTATTGAGAATAAACATTAACTACTTGCATTTGTCCATGGGAAAAAACTTATAATTAATTGAATATATTGAATGAAAACAGCATCAATGTCGATAGAAGCTAACTTGTGATGGTAGACCCTAGCCATGCTGTATGCTACACTTAAAAAAATCAAATATCATACGATATAATTCATGTATTTAACAAGCGATCAAGGTGTTCAAAAAGTAGTTTTTTTAATGAGAAATAGTCCAATCGGGGAAGGATTCATTCCCACACAACACAACTAAAAATATAGCAAATCTTGGTTTCGATAAATACAATACAAAATCATCTGTCAACATGAACTTTTTCAGTATATACAACGTCTCGTCTTTGTTAGAGTGAAAAATAATGAAGTAAACATAATATTACACGGTGAATTTGATACGGATACTAGCACATGAATTGAATAATGTTGTGATAATACTGAAATAAAAATGGTGATTATTCACCTAAAAGCAGCTGATTCCAATGAAAATATATAAGATTAAATTAAACTCGAATGTCTAAGAAACAACAGAACTAGACATCTTTCTATCGAAAAATTTTGTAACGGAAAATATTCGAGTTTGTTCATGAGTATCTATGTAGGTTGGGATAACAGAATATTGCTTTTGAAATATGAGAATAATTTATTTCATCGATATAAGTATGTCTGAAAGATTTTTACCTTATGGTGATGTTGCTGATGTATTTTTCTCGACAGTTATTTGCTTACAGTCATTAAGTTCCATTTCAACGAATATTCAATCGTTAATGTGACTGTTTGTGCCTAATTCAATAACTTTAGTAGACACTATTTTCAATTAGCTATCAGTGCAAATTTTTCTATTCAATAGATGGGAGAACTATTGAATATTTTTTTCATTTATTCGAAATGAAAACTAAACAGAACAATTGTTTTTGTCGCTTTGCCAAAGGTACTCTATACTTGAATATCGAGATTTAGGATGTTATTTTGTTTTGCTCTACTATTCATTTGCTAAAACAGTGTGTGCAAATGTCATTGAACTCAAACGGAGAAGAAAGAATTGAATAAATATGTTGTTTTTGTCTTTCCCAATACAGATACTAAGAGTAGCATGTTTTGCGGTTATTTTGATCCTTGTTATGCTAAGTCGAGTCAGTCGGTTGAATCATGTGACTTCAGCTAAAATTTGTCGTCTAATTGAATAATTTTTAAAAACTGATTCTCTTGATTCACATCTAATATATTGTAGATTGTAGTATAAATTTTTTGAATTGAACTCAAGATGAATACACGATGTGTGTTTTACTCGGCACATTGTATGGGTGACTTTTGCTTGCGATGCAATGAAATGAATCGTAGTCAAAAATTTGCAAGGTTCCTTCAACTTTTGGAAAAAGCTTCTGAAAGTGTAATGCATTATGATGAAATCGTTTCTATAGTGGAGCGGATTCAAAATGTAAGTTCTTTCGAATTATAATTAGATTATTACGAATGTATTACAGACCGAACCACTCATGATACCAATTCTATTCAATCCTAATCAAATGTTCGATGAGAGGAAATATTTGGTATATGCAGTGGCTCAGACATATCTTAGAAAGGCCACAGATGATGTACAACATCTTGTTCCTGTAGAAGTCATTGGCGACGGAAATTGTTTATATAATTCAATCCTTCTTCTTTGAACAATTCAATGATGACAACAAGTGAATTACGAGGTATATAAATTTATGTTCTACCTATATTTTCCTGCAATTTGTTTTGAACCAATTTTAGTTCGAACAGTTATTGAACTTGTAGCAAACGAAGCGTATTATACCAGAATGTATTCACAATTCATCGGACCTATAGATATCGCCATCAAAGCTATATGCAAAAATTATGCATATTCTGAATTGTACAAAATAGCTGCACTATGCAATGTCCTTCGATGTAATATACGAAGTATTTATCCAAAAATTGATTTCTGAGAAGATATGGAAATTCTAAATAACATCTTCAGGCCTACTTCACCTATTATTTCCTGTTGTAGTATCACTATTTTCTCGTCTCATGTCTTAAACGAAATAGATGTATGAGCTCAAAATAATATGACATGGAGTGTCAATCATTTTGTTCCTCTTATGTCTTCACCTGCATATGATGACTCTGATAATATAAGTCATCAATCAGTGTCAAAAGTTGTGGTAAGTTACCGAACTGAAAATATGAAAGTGAGAATTTTCAAATTTATTTGTTTAGACTCCTGAAAAAAGAACTTTCAAGAATAATGCTCCCATCCAGATACGGATTTCTGAATTTCAATCTTCTCCCAGTCGACGTTTACGCAGTGAACACAATAACGAAACTGGTTTCGCTCAATCAGCTGCCACAGATGCAATGCGAGAAACACAGAATAGCATTCATGAACAACGCCAAAGTACCATTGAACAACAAATAAAACCAAATCAAGAGAACCTAGTAAATGAACCAGCTGAACATCGTCGTATCCGATTGGAAAAACAAAAACAGCGGGATCAATCGAATAGATCCAATGGAACACATGAAAAGCGTAAAATTCGATTGGAAAATCAAAACCAACGGACTAAATCGAATAGATTAAATGAAACAAGTGAAGAGCGTCAAATTCGATTGACAAAAGTAAAAGAAAGGGCTCAATCGAGTCGTATGAACGAAACAGAAGAGCAACGCCAGATTCGCCTAGAAAAACAAAGAAAGCGATATCAAGCAAATAGAGCTAAAAAACTAGTTGAAAAATCGGCAGCTAATAAACTAAATACACAGCAACAAAACTTTTCGGCTCAGTTGAACGAAACTGAACCCAATGCACTATGGGACATTCACGGCATGCACGATTTTACAAATAATGAAGATATCACAAACAAAAACAAAACTTCTATTTCCTCGCTTTGGCCGGAATCCATCTCCCGTAATCTTAAACAGGACTGCTTGCAGAAATTTATTCAAAAAATGTCCATGTCAGCATTGTCTGAAGCTACTTGTGCTATTTGTAACATTTGTACTCAAACGCAAAAGTCGAAGAAATTACCAGTCTCGAAAATTCCTCACATTGATTTGCTTAAAGTTTCTGATGCGCTCAAAGATTTCATCAGAACCAGCCAGATATCTCCAGTACAATACACTGACGAACATATTGGGATCTCTGAGAGTGATAGTGTTATACAAATGACGAGATCCACTCAAAGTAGCCTATGATTGTAATAAATTAGGAATTCATTTTAAAAAATATAGCTATTTTAGGTACCCCATCTTGTAATTCATCATATGTTCAATATGACAACGGTATTGTCTTATACATGAATGGTTTGTTCCACCAAAATACAGTAAAGATGTGTACAATTTGCCAAAAATGTCACGACTCTGTATCAAAATGAAACATTTCTAAGTTTTCACCTGCTAATAATATGTGGTTAGGTGGCATCCCTCCGGAATTACAAGGATTAACAATTCCAGAAGAAAAGCTAATTTAACTTTATCGCCATAATAGCTATGTGATAAAACTTTATTCACCGTTTCACTCAACTACAACTGCTCAAGCAGCACTGAAAGGCAACTGTATTACTTTTCTTCAAAATTTACCGAATATCGTTAACAGTTTACCACTGAAACTTGATGATTTATGTGATACATTAACAGTGATTTTTGTTGGTGCACATCCTCCTGAACGTGTTCATCTTAAGAAGGTCCTGACAGCCCGCAAGAAAAAGGTCACTCAAGCAATGCATTGGCTGAAAAATAATAACATACTATATCAAAACGTCGAGATAAATATTCATAATATTAATCAATTACCTGACGATGACGTACCAGAAGCCATCATGTTAACGATGGAACAGAAGATCGATGATGAAGAAATTCCATCTGAAAGAGTCGGATATATTCCTGATCTATTAGCTGATCCGACTGAATCCACAAATTCTGACACCATTCCTATTAGCAATAGGTAAGATCTACCAGTAAATAAGTCATTTGTAAAGTCTTTTTCCTTTGTAGTGGTGTTCTCGACGTGAATGGATCCACCGTAACTTCAGACGAAATTAAAAATTATGTTTTACGAAAAATTAAAAATAACAAAATAACCGAACAGATGGACATCGAAAGTATTTACGTAATTCGTCATTCATTGAAACCTGTTAATGAATATTTTAATCCAAAACTACTATAAGGACTGTATCCAACTCTATTCTGTTATGGATATGGATCGCCCGAAGATAAATCGCGTCCAGTTGAAATAAAATTACGAGAACGCATACTTTACCTATTATCATACAACGATCGATGCTTTGAAACAAATTATAGTTTTATATTTGTAGTTTTTAATCTTTTACAACGACGTGATGCTTGTTTTCATGCTCAACTGATAGCCACGAACCCTTACTTTCAAGCATCTGCTCAGGAAATTCAGTCATTAAACAGTAACGATATTGAAATGGCTCTCAACAAAAGTGCAAAAAATACGTTTAACTCGACATCCAATGCATCAATACATAAACTACTCAATCATATTAAGACCATCGGTGGCCGCGTTATGGGTTCAACGTATTCAAGAACAGCTTTGCGCACTCGTATTCATGCACTAATCTATAATCAAGGTCTACCAAGCATTTTTCTAACTTTGAATCCGGCTGATATTCACAGTCCTGTCGCACTATATTTTGCAGGTGCCAAGCTTGATTTAGACAACATTCAAATTGAGCAACTAATGACTACTTATAAAAGAGCCCAAATTATTGCTTCACATCCTCTGGCTACTGCCAAGTTTTTCCATACATTGATCACTAACATATTAGATACTATGATAGTTGGTGGTGTTCTTGGACCTATAAAAGCTTACTTTGGTACTGTTGAAAATCAAGGCCGTGGCTCTCTTCATCTACATCTTCTTATTTGGCTTGATCATGATTTTAAGCCATCTGATTTGAAAGAAAAAATTCAAAATGTTGACTTTCGCGAAAAATTAAAAGCATATTTAGAAGATATTATCAAAGAAGATTTAGATGAATTCAAAGGCAAGCGGACCTTTGAAAATCCAGATAGTATTAAAAGTTTTAATCCTTTTTCCACGTAATATATTCTTTTTTATTTTAATATTAGGAATGTGCCTTACTCCCTCAAGATTATCACGCGATAGCATATATGCAGCTTTAAAAGCCATTGATCTCTCAAGATTGGAGCAAGATACACCTAATTTCGATCATATTCGAACAACACCGTTGAAGCAACATTCTTCTTCATCGATTAGTTTTGCTACACCATCGCCGAAGAGGTATTCAGAAACAACGTTGCATGCTCAGCCGAACAACGGTATGTATAGAGTGATCATAAAAAACAAGCAAAGCATAGATTTAGTTTTTTTAACAACGAATGCTTCACGTAATGAATCAAAAGTAATTCCTGCTTGCTTACCTACTCCAAATCCATCATCACCTAATTTTGCATGAAGATTTCGTGCAGATATAGTGCAGCTTGTCGAATCAAATAATATTCACAAACACAGTGATACGTGCTATAAATATTGGAATGCTAATCGAGGAGAAAAAAAGCGTGCCGAATGCGTATGCCACGTAAATTAGTATCCAATTCAACAGTTGATCCTGCTACTGGGAATATTTGTATGCGACGATCCGATCCTTGGATCAATAATTTTAATGAATATCTCATCGCAGCTTGCCGCTCAAATATGGACATCAAATTTATTTGGAATGGTAGCGATACAAAGACTCTTGTTTATTATATTACTGATTATATGACAAAAACGAATCTCTCGTTTCATGATACATTTTCTTTGGTACAAAAAAGCATCGCATCACTCCCGAATTTATGGATCAAACTAATAACGAAAGTGCAATCGAGAAGTCTCGTAAACTCGTTCTGCGCTGTTATAATATGCTTGCTTCTCAACAAGAATTATCTGGAGTTCAAGTAGCTTCTTATCTTATGAATATGGATGATCACTATACAGCGAATAGATTTCAAGGTCTCTTTTTAATTCAAACTGAACGATTTTTACAAACACCACTAAATGAAACACGTGCTCAACGAAAATTGGATTTTACAGCACAGGGTGAGTATACTAATCTCTGATTTCATGTTATAAAAGTATGTATCCTTGATCAAGGTGGACCATAAACGTTCCTGTGTGAAAGCACCAAGGGTAAACGAATAATTATATTCAGTTATTAGTTATCTAAAATACGTAAAATATTTCTTAAGAGAAGTTCCTCTAAATTGAATCAGTCACTGCTTTTTCGATAAGAACCTTCTAGATAGTTCCCTCCGTTCTTTTTTTGTGACACGCGGTTGACACACTGTTTATTCTCAAGTAAAATCCAAGGGCTCATATAAAGAGAAAAGTATCTCAACTCAACTATACGAAAAGAAATCTTCTGAACATTGGGTTAACTATTTGCGTGAAAGAAGCAAACGCAAAGATCGACTAAATTACAATATTATAAATTAATTTATAACTGATTTTTTTCATATTTAGATGTGATCGGCAATGATAGATATTATGATGAAGCTATTGATAACGATAACAGCGATGAAGAACACTTTCAAATTCAATCAACTGAACACGACAAAAAATATGTACTCGTTAGCACACGAATTGATTTTCAATATCGCTCCGATAATCTCAATAGAATGTGCTTATATGACTTTGTTAGCATATTCTGTAAGAAAGAAATGAATTCTACAGATCTGAAATATTTATCCAAGATAGTGGGATCAATAGAAGAAAAAATTAACCAAAAAGGTCGACCACCTAATGAACGATTTCTTTTTCAAAAACAGCATCCTCAGGCTACAACATATTTAATGATGAAATATAGTGAACCTCATGTGCCTGTTCTCTATGGTCCTCAGATACCTCGACGAGATCGTGATGATACTCGAGAATGATATTGTCGGGCTATTCTCACACTTTTTGTACCCTGGCGTACTGTGACTGATCTTTGTGACATCAGTCAGACATGGAAAAATGCATTGAAATGTCGACAACATTTTATTTTGAGACATTCATGGACAATAATAGACGACATTCAATTTTTGCATGAATGCAAAAAGGACCGCGATGATCATTTACTTCAAGTTATCGTCGAAGCACAAACCGAAAATGAATTAGTCGATCCTGTACTGATACCAACGAATCAGAAAGTCGATGGTGAATATGGCACTGATGATAGCGATGATTTGCTTGAATTATTAGGTAATTTCGATGAAAACACAGTTGTTATGTTCAATGCTACAAAAAACTCAACAGAAAACAGATATATTGAAGAAACAATCGAAGCAGTCAAGAATGTCGGACAATTTAACAGTGTAAACAGTAAGTATTATTTGAATGTGATCTGTAGGATCGACAGTAATCGTAAAAAATTTGTTGCAGCATACGACCAATATTCTTTAAATGCATTCAACGATCGCATCAATCAATCATTGGGACCATTCATTTCTGCAACACCTAATCTTGTTCGATTAAATACAAAATGGCAAGAACAGCTAAAAACTGAGAAAGAACAGATTAGAAGAGGTTTGATTACAGGCAACTATGACAAAGATGATGATGATATGTTGAACGTGGATGATGCAAGAAGTGCTGTTGCTACTATAGTGACTCTAAACAATATTAATAAGAAGATATGCGAAAACTATGACTCAATTCCTCCAGTAATATCAGTAAAAGCGAACTTTTATACTCAGAAGGGTGTTGCTGATGAATTTACATTGAACAGAGAACAACGGACTGCATTTATGATTATAACAGGTCATCTTGATGGTGATAGCCATTGTCGTACAGGTAATCTTTATAAAAAGAAGTCATCACATATTGAAGTACAAAATATTTTCAGGTGACAATAATAGTCAGCTTATAATGTGCATACCTGGATGTGGTGGCACAGGTAAATCCCAATTGATTCGTGCTCTTACTAAATACTTTTTAGTTACAAAAAGAATACAAATGATTCGGAAGTTAGCACCTACTGATATTACTGCTGCTGAAATCGATGGCATGACCATCCATTCATTTTTGGGTGAACAGCGTAACTCAGAAAAGGCGCGTACGATTAAACCAGGCGATTTAGAACTCGAGAAAGAATACGCCCTCGTTGAATACCTCTTAATTGATGAGATGANAAAAAATTTTCTTTTTAGAATAGATCTACATTTTGAATATTATAGTGTCTATTTTGATTGAATCATCTTATTAGCAAATTTTCGATATAGTATAACTGACAAACTACTATTTCAATCAAAAAGCAAGTAATCTTTTGTTTCAATTAAATACACTATCTTTTATGTCTTTGAAGACTTCGATTCTCGCTCTTGCTACTCTGGTGCCATCAATTCAATCAGATTCTTTCTCGTAAGTATATTCGAGTCTGGTCTTTTGACTAGCAATACAATCGTATGTATGACGAATACGAGTCTGATCTTTTGATCAGCAATACGATCGCATGCGTGCTGAATACGAGTCTATTCCTGTCGAATTATTTAGAACAGGAAAAGCTGAATTTATGTTATGATTTTTTTTCACATTTTTATGTGAATATCTTGATGTGACTCTATTTCTTGGTACAAGAGAAATAATAAATTTATCTTTTTTACATCGATAGAAAATGAATTCGTGAATAAGAACAGAAGCAAGCTTAAGCACAAATGGAATCGAGAGTGAGTAAATCCTTCAAAAAGGGTATACCAAAAAAGAGAGAAATCATGACGTCATTCTACAATGGCATACAAAACAGAATGCTTGAAAAGAATGTATATGAGACAGAAAAAAAATAAGTATGAAATGGCAAACGAGACCATCCATATCTACCATTATGATGTTGCGGGTGTGAATTTAAATTTAAAAAGTTACTTTCTCAACTGATAAATAGATGGGACAACATATGTTACACCATTATCATGGAGTTATGCTATAATCTTCATATACTTAGCTTTGAACATGAGTAAGAAAAAAATTAATCTGTTTTTGAAAATAGTCGAAAAGTTTAGTTTTTGAGAAGAACCTTTGTTGCATCGAAATTCTTTGTATTTATCTTTTAGATACTTCAAACACGTATGATGACAAAAATCGATCGCTTGGTGTGCAATAACTATCGTTTATATTTATTAGTAAAAGAAGACAACAGATTTGAATAATTATAATTGAATATGTTTTAAGAGATTATTTCTGTAGTACGAAATACAATAAGAGTCATAACAATGCAATTCAACGTCTAAATTTTTTGTCGGAGATATTGATTCAACATATAATAAATACTAAAATTGTTGTGTATGTTATAGGGAATAAACATTAACTACTTGCATTTATCCATGGGAAACACTTATAACTGATAAATGTATTGAGTGAAAACAGCATATTGCCAAGAAAAGTTAAATTCTGATGGTAGATCTCTGTCATGCTGTATACTACGCTTTAAAAAATCAATTACCATACAATATAATTCATGTATTTAACAAGCAATCAAGGCGTTCAAGAAATAGTTCTTTTTTATGAGAAATAGTTCAATCGGGAGGGTGAGGCACTATGAAACAACACAACTAGAAATATAGAATATCTTCGCTTTGATATAAATATAATAAAAAAATCAATTTGAAAAATGAGCTTTTTCAGTATATACAAAGTCTCGTCTTTGTTAAAGTAAAAAATAGTGAAGTAAACAGAATATTACACGGTGAATTTGATACGGGCACTAGCACATGAATTGGATAATATTGTCATAATACAGAAATAAAAATGGTGATTATTTACCTAAAAACAACTGCTTCCAATGAAAACTTATAAGATCAAATTGAACCCGGAATATCTGAGAGACAACAGAACTAGAAATATCTTTCTATCTGATGATGTTGTAACGGAAAATATTCGAGTTTGTTCATGAGTATCTAGGTTGGGACAACAGAAAATTGCTTTTAAAATGTGATAATAATTTATTTCATCGATGTAAATATGTCTGAAGGATTTTTACCTTATGATGATGCTGCTGATGTATTTTGTCTTGCATTTATTTTTTTACAGTCATTAAGTTCTGGATTTTTTTCGTTTACTCGAAATAAAAATAAAACTGAATTATTGCTATTCTCGTTGTGTCAAAAGTACTGTATACTCGAATATCGAGATTTAGGATATTATTTTGTTTTGCTCTACTATTCATTTGCTAAAACAATTTGTACAAATTTCAGTGAACTCAAACGAAAAAGAAAGAATTGAGTAAATATGTTGTTTTTGTCTTTCCCAATACAGAGACTAAGAGTAGGATGTTTCGTGGTTATTTTGATCTTTGCTTTGCTCACTCGAGTCAATCTGTCAAATCATGTGGCCTCATAAAAAATCTGTCATCTAATTGAATAATTTTTAAAAACTCATTCTCTTGATTGACATCTATTATATTGTAGATTGTAGATTGTAGTAAAAAATTTTTTAAATTGAACTCAAGATGAATACACGATGTGTGTTTTGCTCGGCACATTGTATGGGTGACTTTTGCTTGCGATGCAACGAAATGAATCGTAGCCAAAAATTTGCAAGGTTCCTTCAACTTTTGGAAAAAGCTTCTGAATGTGTAATGTATTATGATGAAATTGCTTCTACAGTAAAGCGGATTCAAAATGTAAGTTCCTTCGAATTATGATTAGATTATTAGAAATGTATTATAGATTGAACCAGTCATGTTATCAATTCAGTTCAATCCTAATCAAATGTTCGAGGAGAGAAAATATTTGGTAGATGCAGTGGCTAAAACATATCTTAGAAAGGCCACATATGATGTACAACATCTTATTCCTGTAGAAGTCGTTGGCGATGGAAATTGTTTATATAATTCAATCCTTCTTCTAATGAACAATCCAATGATGACAACAAGTGAATTACGAGGTACATAAATTTATGTTCTATCTATATTTTTCTGTAATTTGTTTTGAACCAATTTTAGTTCGAACAGTTATTGAACTTGTAGCAAACGGAGCGTATTATACCAGAATGTATTCACAATTCATCGGACCTCTAGATACCGCCATCAAAGCTGTATGTAAAAATTATACATATTCTGAATTTTACGAAATAGCTGCGCTATGCAATGTACTTCGATGTAATATACGAAGTATTTATCCAAAAATTGATTTTCGAGAAGACATGGAAATTCTAAACACCATCTTCAGACCTACTTCACCTATTATTGCCAGTTGTAGTATCAATATTTTCTGGTCTCATGTCTTAAACGAGATAGATGTACGAACCCAAAATAATATGACATGGATCCCCAATCATTTTGTTCCTCTTATGTCTCCATCTGCATATGATGACTCTGATAATATAAGTCATCAATCAGTGTTAAAAATTGTGGTAAGTTATCGAACTCAAAATATGAAACTGAGAATTTTAAAATTTATTTGTTTAGACTCCTGAAAAAAGAACTTCCAAGAATAATGCTTCCATTCAGATACGAATTCCTGAATTTCAATCTTCACCCAGTCGACGTCGACGCAGTGAACGCAGCAACGAAACTGGTTTCGCTCAATCAGCTGCTACGGATGCAATACGAGAAGCACAGAATGGCATTCATGAACAACGCCAAAGTGCCATTGAACAACAAATAAACCCAAATCAAGAGAATCTAGTGAATGAAACAGCTGAACACCGTCGTATCCGATTGGAAAAACAAAAACAGCGGGATCAATCGAATAGATCCAATGAAACAAATGAAAAGCGTAAAATTCGATTGGAAAACCAAAACCAACGGACTAAATCAAATAGATTAAATGAAACAAGTGAAGAGCGTAAAATTCGATTGGAAGACAAAAACCAACGGATTAAATCTAATAGATTAAATGAAACAGCTGAAGAACGTCAAATTCGTTTAAAAAAAGTAAAAGAACGGGCTCAATCTGGTCGTATGAATGAAACAGAAGAGCAACGCCAGATTCGATTAGAAAAGCAAAGAAAGCGAAGTCAAGCAAATAGAGCTAAAAAACTAGTTGAAAAATCGACATCTAATAAACTAAATACACAACAACAAAGCTCTTCTAATCAGTTGAACGCAGCTGAACCCAATGCACCATGTGACACTCAAGGTATGCATGATTTCACAAACAACGAAGATATCACAAAGAAAAAGAAAACTTCTATTTCCTCGCTCTGGCCGGAATCCATCTCCCGTAAACTTAAAGAGGACTGTTTGCAGAAATTTCTTCAAAAAATGACCATGTCAGCTTTGTCTGAAGCTACTTGTGCCGTTTGTAACGTCCGTACTCAAACGCAAAAGTTGAAGAAATTACCAGTCTCGAAAATTCCTCACATTGATTTGCTTAAAGTTCCTGACACACTCAAAGATTGTATCAGAACCA